CGTGTGTGTGTGTGTGTGCGCGTTGCTTTGTTAATGTGGGTGTCAGAGAGGGCGTGAAGGTTTACTCCTTGTATGATTGTCCTTTTTAAAGATTACTTTCTTGTTCTGTCCTGTTGAGTAGTTGAGCAAACAAAGAAATGAACAAACGCCAAAAGAATATAGAATATTTTAAAATCAAACAAAATCCATTAAAGAACAGAATAACACTAAAATGTATATTCTTTTCTTTTAAAATGAAAAGAGCTTCAACAAGATTGTCACTCCTCTGTTGTGTATTAATTTTACTGTTGTATTCATACTGTTGAGCTTCACTACGTTAAAAGTCCTCTTTCATTCTCTAAAGGCTTCGTGGATTGTAGGGATTTTCTCCACTTGCTTCCCTTTCTTTAGTATTGTTCTATATAATGTAATAATATTTTGTAGTTTTGTAGCTTGTATAGATCTAGAGGCCGATTAATTAATACAAGTGACTTGGCAGTGTTATTTTTTCCTTATAAACAATGAACGTCGTTATAAATCTGTCTCTTTTTGTGTCTATTCTCTTGTAACGCCTTTAATGTCCAGCACTTATCCAAACCAATTGTGTTGTGAGTGCTGTAAAACTCTTGCTTAAAAAAGAAACGTGTTTTTTTTTTCAATCGTCTCAGTGAATTTGCTGACAAGATGTGGTGGTGGAGTGCTGTCCTCATCAGCACAGTTCTGTGTCAGGTCGTCCATGGGGCTGGCATGTTCAAATCCGTGACCTCTCAGCTCATCCCGTTTAATACTGTCCAGAAAAACTATGGCGTGGCAGTCACAAATGTGGGGAATGGAGATGGACCCATGGAGTGGGTGGTTGCTGGGTGAGTAACGTGATAAGACATTTTCTCCGCCAATCTAGTATCTCAATTTGTAAAGAAAATGCCTTCCAGGGTACTTTGAGTTCAAGATAAAAATTTGATAGGTTGATAGTCAGATGGATGGACAGATGGATGGATTGATTGATGGATGGATAGATGGACAAAAGGACAGATGAATGAATGGATGGATGGAGGGACAGACAGAAAAGCAGATAGATAAAGAGAGAAGGGCAGGTTTGGGTGAAATGAAAGGTGGCAGGGATAGTGCAAATATTTAGTTTTTAAAACAGTTATCAATTTCTGCTGAGCTGTCTTAATATAAAATTATATTCTGAGAAAGAGTCATTAAGTCATCTAATATGGTACTTGTAAACAGGATACGTACTATCAATAACACATTCGTAGGTAAGGTGTTCCATAAATATATGAAATCTTTATGTTACTCTGTTATCATAGTGTGCATTGACTATCATTTATCAAGTATAAACTTTTCTGTCACAGATATAGTGGTCCCAATCTAGTCCTCCAATATGACAAAGCCACAGGGAGGTACACTAACATTGCACAGAGAGGCACTCCGTACGAAGTGTTAATGGATGCAGAAGGTAATATCATTTTCCTTGTTGAACTTCATCATGTCTGTTTGAATGCAGGGCCTCAAATAGTTAAGTCATCGGGCACACAAAAATATGTAAAGAACAGTGAGAAGAGTGGTAGGCCTGTTTAAATTTTAGATTGTTTTAGCTCTAAGATAATTGATTTTTTGTTCTAAATACGTGCTAATTGTGTCGAATTCATAAGCTGAACATTATGAACTGGAAAATTGCTAAAATAGAGATTAAAAAAATTAACGATGGTTCATTTTCAGGGTGTTTTTTTAATACAATATGGCTTTTTTTCTCCTACCAGGTGATGCAATTGGAGTGTGCGCATGTGACATTGATGGAGATGGATTAGAAGAAATCTACTTCTTGAACACAAACGACAGATATTCTGGTCCAAAGCTTGTGAAGGATCGCCTTTTCAAGGTAACATACTTTTTATAACATTCAGAGGCAAACATGTCACTCAGAAAACTGACTTTGTCCCTCTATCTTGTTCACATTCTTCTAACTGCATTAACAAAAGTTCTAGCTCATTTATTTATTTGCCAATGCACACATAACTTTGTATGGCAAGCCTGTAAGCCAGTGACGAAACTAAAGTATATAATGTTGATCCAGTTTTAAAAAGTTCCTTTATTTTGATCCTATGTTAAACATTGTCCTATAAGTACAAAATCTCTATAATAAAGTATTTACAGAAACAATAGAGAGGAACATTTTCTTTTACAGCTGAAACAGTTACAATGTATTAGTTTGAAATGGTGAAATTGAAAGTATTAGTTAATTTGTAAAAGATATATTTCGTTACATAGAAAACATGTTTGGATCTCTTGTTGATGATTTTTTGCTTCTAGAATAACAGTTTTAACAGTTGTTATTTAATTTACTGTTATACCATCAAACCTGTCCCCATGGTTAGTAAAGATCGCGGAGAAAAGTGACCATTACAGGCAGGTGGCGACTATGCACATGGTCTAATTTTAAGTTATGGTCAATTATTAGACTTGAATATTAAGTCAACAGATGGTTTGAAATCTGAAACCTTCATCGCTTTTATATTTCCTTTTCATTTCCATCAAAATTATCAATCATAAGAGCTTCTTTTCATTGTTTGAACGTACACTCAGTCTAAGGACTGGTTGGTAGGATTTGAAGCTGATGTGTTGCGAAAATGACTGACAGTAGCTGTGTTGGACAAAGACCTCTATGGACAGGTTAAAAATGTAGAATAAAAGCAAGATGTCATGTAACAGTGGCCATTAGTAGAAATGACTGCTAATAGGTGACTTCTAAGGCAAGTTCAATTGTATAAGCTATATTTATTTCATTCTTTTAATAACTGAATTTGAGTTTTTTTAGCTTTTTATTGTCTTCACAGCATAGGTTATAGATGAAAAAATGTGTGGTTTTGGGGAATTTTGTCAAGATGTATTCTTTGGGTACTTGTTTTTCATTCACCTTTTTTAAGGGGGTCTTTAAAAGACTCCTTACCATTTCAAGCTATAAAAACTTGTTCACAAGTAGTTATTAAATTATTTTCATTTTCAGTGGAGAAATGGTGTGTATGTGGACCTGTTTAGTGATGACTGGAATAAGAACGTATCCTCAATGTTTGCTGGTCGTTCTGTCGCTTGCATTGACAGGACTGGATCAGGAAAATATGGAATTTTGGTTGCCACTTATGCTGAAAGTGAGTACTGGTACTTAAATCTTTTTTTAGTTAATTAAAAAAAAAAGCCCACATATTTCTATAAGAAAGATGTATATGTACTTGTGGATGAGAGTGTGCTTAAGTTAATTTGTCAGTCAGAATAGTGATATAATTCATTACGTAGAAAAAAATTATGTTTGGATCTCTATTGCTCCTAAAATAACAGTTTTGGTTGTTGCTTTTTTTTTCCTGTCACAAAGCTGATTTGCTAATTGACAATTGCTTGATTAATATGTTATGGTTAATATTTTATTTATCACTTGTCATGTTGTTTTTTTACAGCTGTTGCTTTATGTATGCCTGTCGTTATTATTATTAATATTTACAAGAATTTTCATGTCCTTCTTAGCTTAATAGTAATATTTATCTCAGTTTCTGTAACAAAAATAATTGGCTAGTGGCTCATAAATTGTCATTTGATTTCATATAGCCTTCAGAGCCTACAAAAAAGGGAGCTTCGGCCTCATAGAAATGGATGAGGTCCATCCAATTAACAACATTGCAAGGGGCAATATTGTGTTGCATGATGTTGCCCTTGATGCTGGAATCGATTTCTCTACTGGTATGTTACCTTTGTGTTGAATTAGCATAAATCCATGTAATTGTATCATGCTTCACTGTCATTGTTTACACAAGCCATATAGGAAATCAGTTCTTATGTAAATCGCTTACAATGTTGTCAATGTTTGTTGTACCATTCTCCATTCTTGAATTTTGTAAACATACTGTTAGGAGAAAATATACCTAGTTGGGGAGGGGGGTAGGGCTTGAAAAGAGTTTTTGACTCAGACATTTTTATGAAACTTTTTTCTAATAATATGAGTCAGTCTTACTCTAATATCTGTTTGGATCTACATGATTTAGTCTCAAACCTGATGATATTATGTAACAATTAAGCACCTAAATTACATAACTAAACATATCTCATCTGAAAAATGTTTAAAAACACTTTTAGATTCTATGGCTGATCCGTTCTCTTTCTTTTCTTCACTGAACTTGTCATGTTGTGAGCGCAGGTAAGCTGGAAAATTTTCTCTTGTGTTTTCATATTTTTATTCTGTTTTTTTTTTAGGTGGACGAGGCATTGTCGTTGGTCCTATTGTGGGAGATGATGGTTTTTCTGATATTTATTTTGTAAATGAAGGAAATTATCAACTTCGGAACAGAGCAGACAATGCTTTGTTCAAAAATGATGGAAGAGGACACTTCACAAATATGGCAAAGGAAATGAGTAAGCATCGTTAAATTGTGTAAAAAATTCATTCTTGTTTTCATCTCATAAAAATAGATTAGATGTATGCATCAGTGATTTGGTAAGATATAGTACTGTATTCTACAATACATGTATTTTATAGTCTAATTTCTTTTCTGTTGAAGATAGGCCCAAAGTAAGAAAATTATTTTCTTTCTAGAATTCCACCTTCAAGTATATAATCCTGATTGTGTGTCAAAAGACGAACAAAGAGGCTCTAATATGTGAGTCAGCTTGGTGAAATAAGGCGCTCATCAAAATAATGAAAGTAAAGAAACTTACACTTTTCCGCTGGTTTGGCAATCTTTATCGAAATTTTGTTTTTTAGCTCAACATCTTTTATGTCCATTTAAGCACCCATTTTAAAGTGCATTATATTAAAAACGTTTATTAAAGGCATGAAAAATGTAAATTGTCAGTTTCCATGGATTCTGAGGCATTGTAAATAACCAAACTTTGGTGGCCATTCTCTTACTAATTTTACCTCTGAAACTAGGTGATCCCACCTCATATAATCGCTAAAAACTCGACTTGTACTCAAGATAAATGGGTAATTATTTCTTCGAAAGCAAGGCAAATGAACAAGCTTTAAGGCGATACCAATAACTCCAAATGCCCAAATATTGCTGAGCGCCAGATTCCACAGCGCCATTGCACATATGCTTTCACTAAGGAATGAGATGGTCCTCTCTTTTTGATGTTAGATTTTCCTAGTATAAAATCTTTCTATTCTCTACAATATTTTCTTTAAATGATGAAAATGAGTAAAGCGGTGTCAATTTACTTTATAGATAATATACTTTTGTGTTTTCAGATTTGGATGATGACTATCCAGGCAGAGGTGTCACTCTGGCAGATTTCAACAATGATGGTCTTATTGATATCGTGTATGGAAACTGGATGAGTCCCCATAAGCTGCTGATACAACGGATTGATTCTTATGGGAACTCCATATTTGATGTGAGTTGTAGATTTTTTTCAAGATGCATTTTTTACAAATAGGCTACAGTTAAACCTACTTTAATGGCCACATGTCTAAAACAATCATCTGTACAAAACAACCACTTCCTACTTCAGCCCTTTGGGTTTTTTGTGTTATAATGTCACTGTCCAAGACGTCTACCTTGCTAAGATAACCATTTTTCTCCTCAACAATGGGTGGCCGTCTGGGGCAATTTCAACTGTTTTTGTTGAAGTTTTCACTTTTGTTTTCTAGGAATGTCTGCATAATTCAATATTCTCTTTAAAAAAGTTGAGCTGTATGTCTCGCCTTCCCTAAACTCTTTTAACTCATTCGCTACGCCGAGCCGTGGGGGGCGGCGCGGCTAAAGTGCCGTCAGTACGCTAAGCCGCCCACGGCGGCTCGAGAACCGACGTTCAATTTTATCTTGGTTTCTATTCTAATCCACATATCCATGTTAAAATAAAGGTCATAATATAAAGTTGACTTCCGGGTCAAGCGTTTCCACTGAAAATCGGAAGTTTTGATTCAGTTTTGAAACACGATTTCGAAGTTTATGCGACATTGTTTTATCGCGAAGCCCAAATTATAGCCCAGACATCAGTCTTAGTACTTTTACACAACAAAATGTATCATTATTTTGCTCACTAAAGAAGTGTAGGACTCTTCTTTATAATATTGATACTACTGGACTCAAATTGCCAGTGCACTGTAATTGAGAAATCAATATTTTTGAGTGCTAGATCTAGGCCTAGATCTGAATAGTCAAAATATTTTTTTTTTCCCCAAAATCACTACTTTTTGGTGAATTTACTCAAAAAGTACCCCCCAAGACATGTATAGGTTTATTCCAAATGCAATTCTGAATAATTCCATATGAGATACGAGTGTTTTTTTCTGATTGGGATCCTTTTTTTCAAAATTATTAAAATTTTTAAATTTGTTTTCAACATCGGAGGTTGTGATCCAAAAGTACAAATATTATGGAATGTATGTAAATAACTGCACATTATTCAATATTTTCCTGTTCTATATACAGTTATGGTTATTTTGATGTATAATTTGACTAAGTGCAAACATATTTTTTGAGTTTCATCTGAGATTATAAATTTTTTGTTTTCAAATTTTATCCGCAGCCAATCACAATTGTGTTGCATAATCGCCTCTTACAGGAACCAAAGTTGAAAAATACTCAAATAAACAATACAGATATATTCTACAAACCATACTGAAAATGTTGGTATATAATATGTTGATATTTATTTGAATTTATGGCCCCCAAGACCTGTGAACTGCGCACTAGTCATCATCTCATTTCGCCCTCCCGAAAAAAATTCGTCCACAAGCCAAAAATAATACGTAGTGAATGAGTTAAGAGCTTTGTTAGTCGTATTGATCAAAGAATTCTGGAATGAAGTTCATCTCCATTGATCACAAGTTACATGACTGTTCTAATATGAGCAATCATTTTTTTAAAGCAGAATTTACAAAATTAAAAACTGATTTTTTTCATGGTTATCTCAGTCCTTCACCTCACTCTATATGTTCTCATTATTGCATTATGTATTTATCATTCATTTGTAAATGATTATAATCTGTTATTGGCATAATAATTACTTTTGTGACATCATTAAAGATGAACCACCCAAGCGGAGAATGTCAGGGCTTTTACTGTTTATTTTGATACACTATCACAAATTTTATATTCACAGAATGTTGCTACACCTACATTTGAAAAGTCGTCTCCCATCCGCACAGTCATTGCTGCTGACTTTGATAATAATGGCTACTTGGATGTTTTCATGAATAACATTGTCTATGGGCCTCATGATGCTAGTAACAAACTTTATGAAATTCAGCCAAATGGGAACTCGGTGACCATTGTCAACGAAAATATTGGAGATGCAGTAGAAAAAACTGGTTATGGAACTGGTGAGTACTATCAGACTAGATCTTTTGTTCAAAATTTGTGTGTGAATTATTTGCTGCTGATCCAAAGCAGTGAGATCTAGGTAAATTTATTGTATTGCCTGCTTTTATGTATTCTCACTGTTTTAAGGCATAAGATACAATATAAAAATTTATGTCATACTTCTTTCTTTCTTATTTATTCTCATTTGTCTGAATCTTTCCTTTCTAAGAAAAAAAGTACAGTAGTCTCCGCCTAAGATCCCAGCGCTCGAGAGCAAGGAAAATGCCGGATCTTAGCCTACGAACCCAAGGAAGAATCTAAGGTGACCCATGTTAAGGCTCATAATCGGTAAAATGGTCTCCCTCCACTTAATAATGGACTGACGTGCCCCCTGGATGGGTTTATAACTTATGGTGAGCAAAGAGTGGTTAACTTTGATGACTTATCACAGTGTATTGTGGCATGCGGTGAGCCATTTTCACTTATTATCCTATCGTCAGTCTGAAGATCAATGCTTATCCAGTTGCCCCTCCCCTTTACCTGTCGAAAAGTTATAGCTTTCCTTCTCTGACCAAGTTCCCTCGCCTCTGTCGTTACGCACCATTACGTTGTGACCACATAAATTAAAATTCAGTCTGTCTCGCAAACTCGAGAATAGAGAAAACTGCTGCAATGGTCAGGGAAGAGTTCACAGCATGATGTGATCCAGCATGGAGCGAAGTGATGTAAGTTTAGGTGGAGAGCTCAGGTGCGAGTGCGATGTTCAGGGAAAACAAACATGTAGGTTAGTTCACCCATCGGTGTGATCCCATCTGGGGCAAACATTGTACCGTTTCATCGAGTTTTACAATGCTTATGTAATCACATTCATGAGAGTGGCTGATCTTTGAAGCGACGGGCAGTTCATTTATCTTAACTTTTTACTCTTGGTTGATTGGCTGTGCCCGCCTGAGTGTTTGTTCCGTAAATTATGATCAGAAATGCGAGATCTTAGCAGAATGTAGACCTTCAGAGTGGATCAGAGCGGTATCTTAGGGATGACTTTTGTATAGTAAAAATAATGTTTTCTTAAAACGGCGGGATCTTAAGCGAACCGGGATCGTAACCAGTGGAATCTTAGGCGGAGACTACTGTATCAGTATCAAGTTTTAAAGTGTACTGAAAAAAAGTTTCACCTAAGATTCCTGTAAGACTCAAGCAGGAGTGTATACTTCTAATCAGATGAATTATAAACTAAAGTGGTTAGAGCCTTTTGGTTTGTAGATCAGAGCTTGATCTAATCGTGAGAGCACATAGATGACAATGGCTGTAGTGACCTCAGCTGAAATTCAAAATGAAAAAGGGTTGTAAAATATAATGCTCAGACCCTGAGAAAGGGAGACTTGTGTTGTTATTTTGAGCCTAATGTTGAATCTTTATTTTATTTGACAGGCATTGAAATAGTAAGTGAAACATTAAAAAATATCTCTTGCTTTCATGTCCTCTATTATGTAAGAGAGTATGCATTTGTTAATTGTTTTAGAAATCCATAATCTTATTTCTTTTTCATAGTGCAATAATAATCTGCAAAGGGCGATGAATTTTTATTCAGAGTGATCATTAACTTTTCTTCTGTCTGTTTAAGGTGCTTCTGTGGCTGATGTTGACAATGACGGAGTCCTGGAGTTACTGATTGCCCATGGAGAATCTAAAGCAGAAGGACTCTCATTTTACCATGTGATGAAAGCCGACTCTCACAACTGGATTCGTTTCCTTCCCTTGACTCGGTATGGTGCTCCTGCGCGAGGGGCTAAAGTCACTGTGACACTGGATGGTCGCGAAGGAATGAAACTGACAAGAATTATTGACGGTGGCAGTGGATATCTCTGTGCTATGGAGCCTGTTGCACATTTTGGCTTGGGCAGGAATACGGCCCGTCAAGTGGAGATCACATGGCCAAATGGTCAGCGTAAAACGCTGACATTATCTCCCAGTGATGTAAAGAAGACTCATGAAGTGACAATCTCTGGTAGAGTAACGAGTAAAGAGCCCGACTCAAGTCCCAGCTCCTGGCATACTGGTGGAGTTAAACATCACAGCCAGTCTGTTGGGGGCTCCTCTGTGCAAGGTAGATCGGAATTATGATGTTTATTGCATGCTTATGTTTCTAGCGAATGTGCCATAACATGTATGAATATACTACTTCGTTCCATTTAGAACTGCTTCTTCTCAGTCTTGCTGCAACTAATACATAATCATAAAATGCATGTAGAAATCAGAGTGAAGCTGAGATAGAAATCTTTTAAATAAAATTTCATCATCAGCTTCGCTAATAAGATACTATATTATTATAAAACTTCAAGTGGATGACCCCTGCAAAAAGATAATAGTTAGTATTTATATATATATATATATTATATATATGTATTAGATATCCCTCCTATTTGTATCTTTTTCAACTCCTTGTGGAGTAACTTAATCTCAGAAGCAGAGTTTCGTATCTTGCTTTCCAGAAATAAGTACAGTTGAAATTGTCCAAGATGACCATTCATTGTTTAGGAGAAATTTGGTTGTCTTAGGCAGGTGGACATCTTGGACAGCGTCGCTAGAATAATATAAAAAAGATGCAAGGGGGGAAGTGGGAAGTGGTTGTTTGTACAGGTGATTGTATTGGATAGGTAGCTGATAGAGTATGTTCGACTGTAGTTTTTATCAGTCACATCTTTTCTCTGGTGAAATACTTTTTATTTCAAATGAGGTATATTTCCTTGATTCACTTGAAGATAGTAGGCCAACATATAAACCACCCTAATATGACATTCTTTCCTGACTGTTTTCTTTTTAGTGTGCTTTATTAGTGTATACCTCTCACAGCTTGCTCACTGTTTGACGTGTAGTTTGTTTGATCATGAAATTAAGCAAAGAATTAAGAAGTTAATAATGTTATGTTAAGATTCTTTGTGCGTTTATTCTTTGCATTCACGTTACCACCTGGATTAACTTGTTAAGGCCCCAAAAATATAGTAAAAAATGAGAAACCTGCTTATTGAACAATATTCATGCTTTGCAGATAGATGAAGCTGTTGAGATTGGCCATGAGGTACCTAACACTTTGGGAAGTTGGCAATGTTATTTTATCTTCTTTTCCCCCTTCAATCAGCTTGATTTTAAACTTCTGTGGTGGCTTGGGCCTGGTTTTGATTACCTAAAAAGAACACATTACTATGAATACTCCATTTTTTCATTTTTATGCAAACCCACTCCAATCTAAGCGTCTTTTAAAAAGCATGCTTTTCATGTTTTGAGGGAAGAGTGATATTATTTCAATGTGAATATGGGAGTAGAAAAAAAATCCTGAACAATTATTACTTGCTGCCAATTCGAAGTCAAAACGAGGAATGGAAAATCTTTGCTGAAAACAACATTATTATAGATGTTCCTACATTTCCATGATTTCTCACTCACCATACATCTGTCTGTCTTCCTGAATCTCTGTCCCTTTCTTTCTCTCTGTTTCTCAGTTCTGTCTTTCCCTCTTTAATTATTTTCCTTCCTCTCCTCCTCCTTTCTTGGAATTGACTTGACATTCATCAATTATGAGTCTATTCATGTATTCAGATGCTCACACTGAAATGCACACACACACACACACACACACACACACACACACACACACACACACACACACACACACACACACACACACACACACACACACACACACACACACACACACACACACACACACACACACACAAACACACACACGCACACACACACACACACACAAACACAAAATTACAGAGGCAGAGATGAATACTTTCACAAATGGTATATCATTATTATTATATTTACTTACATAGACATGAATTTCTGTCTGTACCCAATGTTGGATCAGCTTAGAAATGTGAATTGCTTCTCTTTTTGTGAATGATTTTATTTTGATAGTTAATGATAGTTGTTCAATTATCTTTTCTAATTTTTCCTTGGTTATATTGATCTTTGATCTCATTTGTCAATTTATGCAATGGACTGCACAAAGTAATGTTAATTTAAAAGGAAGTTCAATGCATATCACAGTATTTTAGAAATAATGCATGTGTCGTAGAGGGGACATTTCACTTGGCCTAAAGAGCATTGTGTAGCCTAATGTACGATCTGAGAAATGTCAAAGTGTAGACAGCTATCGTGTAGTTATCTTTTTTCTGCATTTTTGTACTTTTTAAAGCACAGGTTTTTTCCTCTCAGTGAAAACTGATACTCTTTTCCATCCTGCATGTCCCTGTCATGTTGCATGTCTATATGTTTTGAAAATCTTTGGCTTTAGTTTGATGAACAAGGAAGCGCACACGTTTTAAATGTATAGTACTGTATTTCTGTCCTCAGTTCTCCCATCTTCCTTCATCTTTTGTGGGACATTTCTTTATTCGACATTGCTGACAAGGTGACCAACAGAGCCTGGATCTGAGATGTATTATCAGAATGATAGGAAAAAATGTGGGATGAAAGTTTTTTACCTTGATTGAAATAAGTTTACTCTGAACTTTAAACGTTTATGAAAGAAAAGTTTTGCTTGGAAAATATGTTTTGGGTGAAAGTACATGTACCGTTGTGCAATATTTTCTTTCTCTTTAATACTTTATTCAGTTTTTATGTCGTTGATAATCATTGAAAGAGTTTAGTTGCTCTTGTTTTTCAGGGATTAGTCATGTACAGGTCTATTTTTTGGTAAGGGTGTTTTCGCATAATTTGTCAGTTTGTTGTGGGACGAGGAAATATAATGTTGATAGTGAAGCTGTGTTTGAAAGCAAAGTAAGTATGAAAGTATGATGAATATGTGCTCTTGATATGTCCATTTCTTCTTTTTTTTTTCCATTCCACTCCTTTAGTTTTGGTGTACAATGTATTCTCTCAATGGTGGTCAGTTGCACAAAATGATGATGAATACCTGGCTCTAATGTTTGAACTCCATCAGTTATACGACATACCATGACATTGGTCTAAATGAAGTAACAGCTGGCTGAAAAAGTAATTGAGAAATTCCTTAGTACGTAGCAGAGCTCAGAAGTTAATTTTATGCTATAGTTGAAGAAAAATGGGGATATCTTACTGTTACCTTGTGAAACGTACTTTTGAGATAGCATTTACCACTGATGGTTAGTGCATAAAAATTTGTGGAGTATACTGTCTTTCATTATAAGATTCTTACTGAGAGAGGCTTTTCACAAGATCCAAAAGATTAACTTGCTGGCAAGGAAAGATATATTCAATCAAGAAAAGCCTGTGGAGCAGAAGGATAACTGCAACCTTTTTCTTTTGATTGTTTTGTGCTGCGTTTAATGAAAAAATGACTGAACAGGCTACGTGTCAGAGTACAGCTTTTGAGTTATTCTGCCAAAGATTTAAATTGTGTTGTCTGTATACCGGGCTTTTGTCTTGTGCTACTTGAAATCGCGATTTTCAAAAAAGAAATCCGCAAATTCGAGTCATTCATGAAATGTTAAATAGTTATTTGATAGTTACTTCTACTATATTTTGGCTATTTTAACTGTTTGTCTGTTTATTTCTTATTCATCTTTTACCTGATTTCTGCCTCCCTCCTACCTTCCCTCCCTCCCTGCCTCCATC